GGCGCAGTGAGATCACAGCTAGGGCGCGGTGAGATCACAGCTAGGGCGCGGTGAGATCGCAGCTATGGCGCGGTGAGATCGCAGCTAGGGCGCAGTGAGATCACAGCTAGGGCGCGGTGAGATCACAGCTATGGTGCGGTGCAGAGCCAGGGGAGGGGGCGTTTAAACGTACATGTCAGTCAACCTTGTGTATATGCGTCGTTCAAGAGAAATTCCAAACGTGTCCTTTATAGACAGGTGTTCTTTTCTATAGAGGTGTGCTGACATAAGTTCGACTGTATGAAGGTCATCTAGAGAATAAGGACATGGGAATGTCCACCTGATGCTCAGTACTATTCCTGTTATGCGTTTTGCTCCTGTCTTGTTCACATTACTTTGCGTCGGTTGTAAGCGCAGCGAGCTGAAATGCTTGCATTGTGAGATTAATGCTGAATTATCGTGACCAGGCGCCACATACGGAACAACAAAGTCTGCGTGGAAGGGCATGCTCAAGGAGGAAGAGGATCTGCATGACATTCACATGGAGGTAGGAATCACGTCCCCTTCCTCCTCCCCCTCCCACAGTCCTACCCTCGTGTCCCCTCCTCCTCCCCCTCCCACAGTCCTACCCTCGTGTCCCCTCCTCCTTCCCNAGGGTGCGCAGCTAGGCCGCGCTAGTCCATTTGAGTGCAGGTTAGCAGGCTACAGGCGCAGTGAGGTTACAAGCTAGGCGCCGCGTGGCGATCACAGTAGGGCGCTATCTTATGGTTAGCAGATCACCAGCTACGGTGCGCCGCGTTCTGAGGAATCTTACTTCCCTCGCAGCTAGGGTGGCGGTGAGAAGCCAGTAGGGGCGTCGGTGAGATCACAGGCTAGCGCGGCGGTATGATGATCACAGCTAGGCGCGGCAGTGAGGTTTAGCAGCTAAGGCGCGGTGAGATCACAGCTATGGGCGTGTGAGTACAGGCTAGGGCGGGCGGTGAGATCGCAGCTGGGCGCGGTGAGATCACAGCTGGGCGCGCACCGGTAGATCTCGGCCAGCTATTCTGAAAGCCGGCGGGAGATCACCCCAGCTAGGGCGGCGGTGAGATCACAGCTAGGGCGCGGTGAGGTTACAGCTAGGGCGCGGTGAGGAATTCCCAGCTAGGCGCAGTGAGAATCGCAGCTATGGCACGAAGTGGAGATTCACAGGCTAGGGCGCAGTGAGGTTACCATGCTAGGGCGCGGTGAGGATTCACAGCTAGGGCGCGGTGGAGAATCACAGCTAGGGCGCGAGTGAGGTTACAGGCTAGGGCACAGTGATGACTCACAGGCTAGGGCGCGGTGAGGTCAACAGCTAGGGCGGCGGTGAGATCAACAGGCTAGGGCGGGCGTGACGGGGATCTACAGACAGTCGGCGCGTGGAAGGTTAGCACCCGAGCATAGTGCGCAACATGAGCTGAGAGCAGTATCCACAGACTCAACGCGCCGCGGTGAGGTCAGCAGCTAGGGCGCGGTTGAGGTACAAGCTAGGGCAGGCAGTGAGATCACAGTGCTAGGGCCGCGGTGAGGTCAGCAGCTAGGGTGCGGTGAGACCGGACAGCTAGGGCGCGGTGAGATCACAGCTAGGGGCGCGGTGAGATGCCACAGCTAGGCGCGGTGAGGTCACAGCTAGGAGTGCGGTGAGTATCACAGCTATGGGCGCGGTGAGGTCGGCACTAGGGCGGCGGTGAGGATCCCAGCCTATGGGGGGGCGCTGGTGAGGTAGCAAGCTACGGCACAGTGAGATCACAGCTAGGGCGCGGTGAGGTCGGCAGCTAGGGTGCGGTGAGACCACAGCTAAGGCGTGGTGAGATCACACCTAAGGGCCGTGAGATCACAGCTTAGGGCGCAGTGAGGTTAGCAGCTACAGGCGGCGTGAGAATCACAAGCTTAGGGCGGCGTGAGGTTACAGCTAGGGCGGCGGTGAGATCGCAGCTATGGCGCGCTGAGATCGGCAGCTATGGCAGCAGTGAGATCGGCAGCTAGGGCGCAGTGATATCGGCAGCTAGGGCCGCCGGTGAGATCGCCAGCTAGGGCGCGGTGAGAATCACAGCTAGGGCCGCTGGTGATTGCTATACATAGACTACAGGTGCCGCAGTGAGCTCACAGCCAACGTGCCGAAAAGTGAGGTTACAAGAGAGAGCTACGGCGCAGTGAGATCACAGCTACGGGCGCCATTGTGAGATCAGACAGCTACGGACGAAGATGTCCCGCCGTGCAATCACAGCTAGGACTGTCACGCACGTGAGCGTTACCAGCTATGGCCCGCGTTGATGCATTTCATCCACTACGGGACGGCAGTGAGGTTACAGCTACGGCGCAGTGGGCGAAAGAATTTCCACTAGAATAAGGTCCGCGCAGGTGAGATCACAAGCTAGTGGCGCGGTGACCGATCACTGACAAGATATGGTGCGGTGAGATCACTCAGGCTCTAATAGGCTTATTAGCGCCCGTCCCGAGGTTACAGCATAGGGCGGCGGTGAGATCACAAAGCTATGGCGCGGTCGGACCATCACAGCTTAACTAGGCATCGCCCGCCGGTGAGATCACAGCTAGGCCGCCCGCGCTCTAATTCAAATCCGTGAGAATCAAGCTAGGCGCTGCGGTATCCAATGAGCGTCACAGCTCTAATGGTGCGGTGCAGAGCCAGGGGAGGCGGGACGTTTTCTAAACGTTACACGCTAGTCAAACCTTGTTACTAATTGGCCGTACGTCTCTCATCCCCGAGAGAATTCCTATACACGTGTACTTTCTAATTATACGCCAAGGTGTCCGCTTTCTATTACCGAGGTGCTGCGCATGACATAAATTGTTCGACTGAGTATGTCAATGCTCCATCTAGAGAATAAAGGACATGGGGAATTTCACCTGATGCTCAGTACTATTTGGTCATCGGTTTTGCTCCTGTCTTGTTCACATTACTTTGCGTACGTTGTAAGCGGCAGCGAGGCTGAAATGGCTTGCATGTGAGATAATGCTGAATATCGTGACAGGCGCCACATACGGAACAACAAAGTCTCGTGAAGGGCATCGCTACTATAAAGATTGAGTTTAAGAGATCTGCACTCCGACATTCACATGGAGGTAGGAATCACGTCCTCCTCCTCTCCCCTCCCAAAATGTCCTACTATCACAGCCTCGTGTTCGCTCCTCCTCCCCTCCCAACAAGTGCCCTTTATATTTATCCTTATCCCCCTCATGCCTCCTCCTATAGATACAATCCATACCTCCTCCTTCCCTCCCACAGTTCCCTACATCAATTTATCCCCACTCCGTCTATCTAATCCTTCCCCGTTCTAATCTTCTATCCCCCCGTCGCCCCCTCTACCTACCTTCATTCCTGTCCTCTTCCCCTCCCACAGTCCTCCCTACTCATGTGCTCCCTAATCGCCTCCTCCGCCCTCCACAGTCCTAACGCCTCGTGTCGCCCTCCTCCTCCCCGGCCCGACGTCTGAAAATGTCCTAATTCCTTCGGTGTCCGCCCCTGTCCTCTACTCCACGCAACTTCTAAAATCCCCCCACAGTCCTACCACCGTCCTCATGTGTCTTCACCTTCACTCCTTCCCCCCTCCCACAGTCCTACCTCGTGTCCCCTCCTCCTCCCCCTCCCACAGTCCTACTAAATAACCTCATGTCTTCCCCTCTCTCTAAGTCCGCCTCATCTTTTCTACCCCGGTGTGCCCCTCCTCGCTCGCCCCTCACCACAGTCCTTACCCACGGCTAAACTAACTAATCCGCCCACCGCCGTTCTAAATCCTACCCCCTCACCCCGCACTTCCCCATCCACCCCTCGTGTCTTCCTCCTCACTGCCTCCCCCTTCGCCACAGTCTTACCCTCGTGTCGCCCTCCTGACCTCCCCCTCCCACAGTTCCTACCCTCGTGTCTCCTCTCCTCCTCCTCCTTCCCATCAGTTTCGGTTTACCTATTCTACCCACAAATCGTGTCCCCCTCCCTCTCTCCTCCCGCAGGTCCTACAACCAATACAGTTCCCCTCCTTCTCTCACTCCTCCATCTCGCTACAGTCCCTCCTCCATCGTCCCCTCCTCCTCCTTCCTCGACAACAGTCGCTAAGCCCTCATGTCCAACCGCTTGCATTTCCCTCCTCCTCCTCCCCTCTACCTACAGTCCTATCCTCGTGTCCCGCTCCTCCTCCTCCCCCTTCCCACAGTCCTACCCTCGTGTCCCTCCTCCATCCTCCGCCCTGCGCCAGCAGTTCTACCCCTCGTGTCGGCCCTCCTACTCCTCCTCCCGCAGCCCTACCTTTTGTGTCCCTCACTCCTCCTCCTCCCACAGTCCTACCCCATGTTCCCCATCCTCCTCCTCCTCCCACAGTCCTACCGCTACTATCTTTATTCCCGTGTCCCCTCCCTCCTTCCCCTCCCACAGTCCAATATCCCTCGTGTCCCTCCCCTCCTCCTCCCTCCCCACAGATCCGTAACCCCCTCCATCGTGTCGGCCCTCCTTCCCTTCCACTCCCCACTAGATTCCTTAATCCCTCGTGTCCTCCCATCCTCCTTCTCGCTCTGCACCGCAGTCCTACCCCCTCAAAAAACTCGTGTTCTCCCCTCCTACCTTCACTCCTCCTTCAAACATGTCCTACCCCCGTCATGTCCCCCCCGTCAATCCTCCCCAATAATCACTTACTTCCCCTCGCCACACAGTCGCCTACCCTCGTGTCGCCCTCCCTCCTCCTCCTCCTCCCACAAGTCCCTACGCCCTCATGCTCCCACCTCCTGCCCCCCTCCCACAGTCCTATCCCTCGTGTCCTCCCTCGCTCCTCCCCCCTCCCTTACCATCCTAAGCCGCTTGGTGTCCGGCCTCCTCTCCCCTCGCACAGTCCCTAGCCCTCGATCGTTCAACTCCTCCTTCTCTCCTCCTCCTCTCCATTCCCACAGTCCTACCTCGTGTCCCCCCCTTCCTCCTCCTCGCCTCCATCCACAGTCCTATACCCTTATGTCTCCCAATTCTACTACTCTTCGCCCGCCCATCAGTCCTACCCTATCACTCCGTGCCCTCCTCCTGCTCCCCCCCCTCCCACAGTCCTCGCCCTCCGTGTCCCGTCTTCCTTCCCCCCTCCCACAGTCCACCCTGCGTGTCCTCCTCCTCCTCCTACCCCCTCGCACAGTCCTTACCCTCATGTCCCCTTCCTTCCCACCCTCCCACAGTCCTATCCTCTCAGTTCCCCTCCTCCTCCTCCTCCTACCTTCCACAGTCCTCCCTCCGGGTCCCGCTGCCTCCTCCTCCCTCCCACAGTCCTACGCCTCGTTCCCCTCCTCTCGCTCCCCTCCTTCCACAGTCCTACCCTCTGTGTCCCGCTCGCTCCTGCCTCCTCCTCCCACAGTCCTACCCGGCTACTCTGTAGTCCCCCTTCCTCCTCCTCCTGCCGTGCCTCCTGTCCCACAGTCCTACCCTCGTGTCCCCTCCTCCTCCTCCTCGACTCCACAGTCCTAACCCTCGTGTCGCCCTCCTCCTCCTCTACCTCCCGACAGTCCTACCTCGTGTCTCCGTCATCCCCCTCCCACAGTCCTACCCTCGGAGGTCCCACCCCCCCGGTCACTCCTCCTCCCACAGTCCTACCTCGTGTCTCCCTATCTGTCCTCTTCCCCTACTGCCACACCGTCCTACCCTCGTGGTCTCTCCTCCTCCTAACTAAATCCCTCATTCCACTCAGTAACCTCCTACCCCCTCGTGTCTCCTCCTCCCTCCTCCGCCCTTTCCACAGTCCCTACCCTCGTGTCGTCCTGCTCCTCCTCCTCCTTCCACACGTCCTACCCTCCGTTGTGATTCCCCGCAATCCGTACATCCTCAATTCTCCCTCCCTCACCACAAGTCCTACCCTCGGTCCCTCCTCCATCCTCCCTCCTCCCAACAGTCCTACCTCGTGTCTCCCCTCACCCTCCATCCCTTACAGTCCTACCCTCAGGGTCTCCTCCTCCCCCCCTCCTTCCAACTACAGTCCTACTTACTTACTCATGTCCCGCCCCTCATCCTGCCCCCTACAGTCCTACCCTGTGTCCCCCTCACTTCCTCCTTACCTCTCCCTAAGTTTCCCTACCCTCCGTGTCTCGCTCCTCCCACATCTCCAACATGAAATCCTACTAACCCATTCATGTCGCCCCTCCTCCCTGCCTCGCCCCGCAAGCCTCCTACCCTCATGTCTCCTCGCTCCTCCTCCTCCTCCTCCCACAGGTCACTACCCCTCGTGTCCCCCTCCCCCGTCCCCCTCCCCACAGTCCTACCCTCGTGTCTCCTCCTCCTCCTCCCGCCTCCCACAGTTCCTACCCTCGTGTCTCCTCCTCCTCCTCCCGCCTCCCCGTCCTACCCCTCAGGTTCTCCTCCTCCTACTCCTCTCTCCAACCCACTAGAATCCTCACCCGCTCCCGTGTCGCCCTCCTGCCCCCTCATCTAAATCTAATCCCCACAAGTCCTACCCCTCGTGTGTCACTCCTTACCTTCCTCCTCAACTCCCCCTCCCCACAGTCTTACGCGCTCGTGTCCCCTCCTCCTCCCCTCCCACAGTCCTAACCCTCATTGTCCGCTTCCTCCTCCTCCTCCTCCTCGCCCACAGTCCAAGCCCTCCCTAGTGTCTTCCCCTTAAATCCTCTTCCTCCTCCCCACAGTCCTACCACTCCATGTCCCCCCTCCTCCCTCCTCCTCACAGTCCTATTACTTACCCCCTCGTGTCGCCGTCCTCCTCCCCCTCCCCACAGTCCCTACCGCTCTATCTCGTGCCCTTAACCTGCCCTCACCTTCTCCTCTCACCCCCCCACAGTACCTACCCGTCGGTCCCCTCCTCTCCCTCCTCTCCGCAGGGTCCTACCGCTCTACTGTCTCCTCCTCACTCCTCCCACTTAGTTCTTACCCTACATGTTCCCTCGTCTTCCCCCTCCGCACAATTGTCCTAACCCCTCTAATTCTTCATGTCCCCTCCTCTCCCCATCCCTACACAGAATACTATATATCCCTCGCGTGTCCTTCCTCCCTACCTGCCTTCCCCACCTTCCCGCATACTCAGTCCTAACCACTCCGTTCCCTCCTCCTCCTCCCACAGTCCCTATACCCTCCATATGTCCCGCCTCCTCCTCCTCCCACAGTCCTACCCTCATTGTCCCCTCCTGCTCCCCCGTCCCACAGTCCTACCCCTCCGTGTCGCCTATCCTCCTCTTACCCCCCCACAGTCCTACCTCATGTCCCCTCTCCCTCCTCCACCAGATCCTACCTCGTGTCCCCTCCTCCTCCGCCCTCCCACGCAGTCCTACCCTCCTCGTGATCCTTTCCTCCCTCCACGCTCCCACAGTCCTATCCTCGTGTCTCCTCCTCCCCCTCTCCACAGTCCTACCCTGCATGTCTCCTCCTCCCCCTCCAGCACCAGTCCCATTTTACCCTCATGTCGCCCTCCTCTCCGCCCCCTCCCACCAGTCGCTACCCTCGTGTCCCCCCTCCTCCTCTTCCCCCTCCGCACAGTCTACCCTCTGTGTCCCCCCCTCCTCCCCGCGGTCCTCCTCCCACAGTCCTAACCCTCGTGTCCGCCTCCTCCTGCCTATCCCACAGTCCTACCCCGTGTACGCCTTCCTCCCTCCTCCTCCCTACAGTCCTACGCCTCCTGTGTCCCTGCAGTCACTACATCCCCCTCCTTCCCCCTCCCAACGATACATAGAAATACAAAATATCACCCCCCTCGTGTCGCCCTCCTCCCTCGCCCCTCTTAATATCATTACTCCACAGTCCTACCCTCGCTGTCCCCTCCTCCTCTTCCCTCTCCCACAGTCTACCCTCAGTGTCCGCCATCCTCCTCCTTCCCCTCCCACAGTCCCTAACCTCGTGTCCGCTTCCCCTCCCCCTCCCCACCAGTCCTACCCTCGTGTCCCCCTCCTCCTCTTCCAGGCCCTCCCACAGTCCTACCCCATCGTGTCCTCTCCTCCTACCCTCCTCTCCACAGTCCTACTCCCTCGTGTCCCCTCCTCCTCCTTCCCCTCCACAGTACACTACCCTCCGTGTCCCTTCCTCCTCACCCCTCCCACAAAGTCCTGTCTGTGCCGCTCCTCCTTCCCCCTCCCACAGTCCTACGCCACCTCGTGTCCCTTCCTCCTCCCTCGCCACAGTCCTACCCTCGTGTCCCCTCCTCCTCCTCCTCTCCCACAGTCCTACCCCTCGATGTCCCTCCCACTTCTCCATCCTAATTTCTCCTCTACCTTCCTCTCCCCTCCCCACAGTCCTACCCTCGTGTCCCCCCTCCTCCCTCTCTCTCGCCGCAGTCCCCTACCCTCTATGTCCGCCTCCCCTCCTCCCCCTCCCACAGTCTTATCCCTCAGTGTCCTCTCCTCCTCCCCCTCCCAACTAGTCTACCCTGTGTCTCCTCCTCCCTCCCTCTCCTCCCCCTCCCACAGTCCCTACTCGATGTCCCCTACTCCTCCCCCCGTACCCACAGTCCTACCCTCGTGTCCCCTCCTCCTCCCCCTCCCACAGTCCTACCCTCGTGTCCCCTCCTCCTCCTCCTCCTCCCACAGTCCTACCCTCGTGTCCCCTCCTCCTCTCCCCTCCACAGTCCTACCCATCGTGTTCCCCTCTCCTCCCCTCCACAGTCCTAAACCCTCATGTCCCCCTCCTCCTCCTCCTCCTACCCAAGTCCTACCCTCGTGTCCTCCTACCTCCCCCTCCCCAACAGTCCACCTCGTGTTCCCGTCCTCCTCCCCTCCCACAGTCCTACTCATGTTCCCCATCCTCCTTCTACCATCCTCCTCCCACAGTCCTACCCTCGTGTCCCCTCCTCCTCCTCCTCCTCCCGCAGTCCTACCCTCATGTCCCCTCCTCCTCCTCCTCCCTCCTCCCACAGTCCTACCCTCGTGTCCCCGTCCCTCCTCCATCCTCCTCCTCCACTAGTCCACCCTCATGTCCCCTCCTCCATCCCCCCCCTCCCGCAGTCCTACCCTCATGTCCCTCCTCCTCCTCTACCTCCCCCACAGATCCCTACCCTCGTGTCCCCTCCTCCTCCTCCTCCCCAGTCCCCTACCCATCATGTCCCTCCTCCTCCCCTCCCAAAGTCCTAACCCTCATGTCCCTCCTCCTCCTCTTCCCCCTCCACAAGTCCTACCTCGTGTCCCCTCCTCCTCCTCCTCCTCCTCCCACAGTCGCTACCCATGCATGTCCCCTCCTCCTCCCCCTCCCCCACATCCACCCTCATGTCCCCTACCTCCTCCTCCTACCTCCTCCCACAGTCCTACCCTCGTTCCCCCTCCTTCCTCCTCCTCCGCGCCAAGTCCTTACCCATCATGTCCCGCTCCTCCTGTCCCTCCTCCTCCTCCTCCTCCCACAGTCCTACCCTCATGTCCTCTCCTCCTCCTCCCGCAGTGCTACCCGGATCTACTGAGACAGCACACGTCCGCACGGCTTTACTGTGATCTCATCATTTCCCTTCACTACCCTTATCTTGCGGAACTGTCCGGACACAAAATTCGAGTCTTACTAGGTCGGGTTACTCTGCGCTCAAAGTCTATAGACGCGTCGCGAACGTGGCGCCATCTGGTGTCACCGTGGGATGAGTGTCCACGCTGCAGTCGCCACATCCTCGTGGTTTTGTTCATTGGCAGGTGCGAGACAACCTGACGGACCAGGTCGCCGTGACGGTGAAGAACTGGCAGAAGGAGAACTACACGAAGCAGACGATACCTCGAGGCTACCACACGAGACAGGCGAAGGAGATGGAGGAAAACTTCAAGAGGGTATGGATACGACAGAAAAAATACTTTCAAGACTACTGCCGCTTCATGCGGTGCTGGTATTCATCCGCCAGTGCATTGTGAGAGCGGATGCCACAGAACATGACAGAAATTTCCTTGGAGAGAAAAGAGAGAATTTCATGAGTCTCTAGTCAGATGATAGCTTTGCACACAGATCCATGAACACGTCGTTGAATGCTCACCTCGTCTGCGCTCTTCGCCGGGTCCTGCTGGGAGTTTCTCTCCTGTAGGATGGCCGTCCGCTCCTTCCGGCACGCCCCGTGGTAGTCGCTCTTCGCTTTACTCACCTTCTCATACTGCTTAGACCACGGTTTCTGCGCCTGAAACAGAAATTGTTGGCCGAGGGCCAGCTCTGCTCATCCAGAACTACACCGAAACAATTATAATTACAGCAATCTGTGAAATCTTTGTTTCCATCCTCCCTGATAATTAGTGGAAGCGCTTACAATGTCGCACTAACACACTGGCACAGACATCACGTTTTTTTACCACTTTACAACTGATGATATTTGTACTTGTTGGCATGGCAAGGTCACTGTCACCTTGATGAAGGGTGACTGACAGCTACTTTGTCTTTATGTCATCGACAGGCTGAAGCTAGGGAAGCAGAGGATCCATGACACGAGCACACAGATCCATGACACAAGCACACAGATCCATGACACGAGCACACAGATCCATGACACGAGCACACAGATCCATGACACGAGCACACAGATCCATGACACGAGCACACAGATCCATGACACAAGATGTGCTCGTGTCATGGATCTGTGTGCTCGTGTCACAGGTGTGTGTGCTTGTGTCATGGGTGCGTGTACACGTGTCATATCTGTCTGTCACCTTGTCATCCCACATCGCTTCCCACGACAGCACGTGTGAAATTCTCCAACCCTTCCCCCCCTCTCCCGTGTCACGGACGAGCTGGCTTCCCCCTCAAGCCACGGACGAGCTAGCTTCCCCCTCGTGCCACGGACGAGCTGGCTTCCCCCTCAAGCCACGGACGAGCTAGCTTCCCCCTCGTGCCACGGACGAGCTGGCTTC